ATCCTGCTGCCGCCACTGCCGCAATCACCATAACAGCCATCTCTCAACATGACAGCACCTCTCAATGACCGTTGCCACTCCCAGGCTTGACTAACCACCTCGACTATCCAGCTTCGCGTTGATAACATCTCAACCTCGCCACCTCAGCAAACCAGCCATGAGCGGCCGACTATCCAGCTTCGACACCACCCAGCTAGAAGCCTTCATCGTCGACAACGCTGTTACCTCAGCAAATACCGACATGATAACACCTCAACTTCAACTCCTATCGCTCGCATTCTATGCATCGGCAAAGTCAGATTCATGACTTCTCCTGATTCTTAATGCTCGCAAACACCTCGGCAACCTACCACCATCACCTTGGTATAACCAACATGTACAAGGCATTCCCTTGCAACCATCACCGCGGCCACGATCAACAGAACAAAGCTACCAACCAACGAAAACAGCCTACCATCGTGACCTCGATCAACCAACACACACTGACCATATACTGTGACTTCACATAAACCCATACAAGAATTAGGTCAATTCCCGGCGCTACCCTTACACCCAACCGCTTTCCTGACGACCACCTATACTTCAACATGACATGCCAAAAATAAACTTTATTCAAATCAAATCCTCGTTTTTCCTTTCTTCCGCTACTAAACGCTTAATTCATATTTAAGCGTTTAATATAACATAAAGCTTTCCTCAGTCGATCGTTAACTGTCAACAGCTGGAAATACTCTTTAACATATGCCCCCCCCCCCAATCTTTTTATCTGGACTTCCATTATTGCTGTAACATTTCCTAATTCCCAATACATATCTCGGACATCATTGATCCACAAATTGAAACTCTACCTGTTCTTAACTGGATCAATTCCAGTCACATTTAAGATTGACACACTTTCCCTGGCTACTTGGGTTATCTTTCTGTCACTGGCTAATTTCTAGTGTGTTTAATTTCCTGCTAATTACTTTTACATTGCATTCTGATATCGTTCCAAAGAGCACACTACTATGGGTGACACCATTTGCATTTATCTCCTCCCTAACAGACACAGATCCCATTACCAGTATATCTTTTACACTTCTTAACCATCATTATCTTCTATTGTCTAAGAACAAATCTCAAGATTAAATATTCCTCTTGTCCTGATCCTAGATAAGCGCATGCCACATTCTCACCTGCACATACTATTTCATTTTCCTTATCAATCTCTCATAAGGGCTCAAGTCAACCATAAAGGTTATCATCTATTTGGAACTCTTCATTTGTCTTCCTGAAAATCGTGTTTTGAGTATGTTTCATCATTGTAGCTGTCGTCAGTGTCATGAGAAATATTAGCATTCTCCAACGAGGCATTCTGCAAAGACAATAAGGAAACCAGCCCAAAACTTATGCACACATAGGAATGGGCCCACTCCCGATTATGCATGTCTCTAACCTGTTCCGAATGCTTCTTTCCCATTACTTCAAATTCCAAGGACGCTTTTTTTTTGTTCTGCCGACTTCCATTTACCTTGAAATCACCTTCTTAGTCCTTCATTCAGTACTCCTCAAACTCTTCCTGTCCTCTTCTTCCTGTTGAGGGTTTTGAGCTTCAATTATTTTATTCAATTCAGCCAGGAGAATTTCATTGGCAGTTTCCCACTCTTTTGTGACCTCAGAATTAGTTTTTTCCCATCACATCACGAACCTAATGCTCCCTCTCTATCCATAACTTAACTCTCATTCCTACAAGAGTTCTTTCCTTTCCTCTGCCTCATCCTTCATTGAGAGCCGATTCCTCCCACTTTTTCGCAAACCTTAGCAATTACTATTGGATTTTGTCGACTTGAATCGCAATATCAACCAATATTTTGTATCCCTACCAAAGCTCTAGCGGCCTCAGTCATGCTTCAAAAGGTCAAAAACTGAGTAGCCACCCCTTTCTTGACTTCATCCCAGGTCGGTCTTTTCTTATCCGGAAAATCTCCCAGTCACTCAGATGCTGGGTCCTCTGTAATCCTATCGTATCTTCTGAGCTTTCTTCCAGACAGTGTTTAACCATGATCTGGGCTCGACGCTCAGACCATGCTTTATCTGTAAAAGCAGGTTTCGATCCCGAAAATTAACCTTTGTGACGGGTAGTAAACCATCCAACCCTTCTCAGCTACACCCATATATTTCCCATTTATGTAACAAAAGCAAATGAAGTATTAACAAGTGGAAGCTCAAAGAGAACCCACAATAAATCAAAAGAGAGGAGAAATTTAAAAAGAATGATTTTAGGAACAGAAGAATGAAATATTTGGTTTACTTTGAACCCCTCCTGCCTGGAATGACTACCAGAAAGAACGAACTATCAACAATTTATTAATGGTGAATTCTATTTTTCACTTGAGGCATTGAGAGGTATCTGATAGTTATGGTTCCGAGTAAAAAGTTGAATTCCATGAATAGATTTGACTGAAATTATTATCAGTCGTGGTGATAGCAGATACACCATAGTGATCCAGTCTCTGAGAATTGTTTTTCAATAGGGTCTGCTGAAAGATCCCTCGCTGGACATGCTTTAGTCAACTAGAAAATCTATCAATTATTGCTAATATACGAATAGTTTTGACAGGTTGGCAGAGGTCCAACTATGTTGATATGTATGTATGAAAACTTAATGTCAGGATTTCTAAATGTACCTCTAAGCGATTTAGTATGTCTGTAAACTTTACAATGCTGGTAATCTCTGCAATAACTAATCTAATTTCTGATATCTTCGTTTATCTCAAACCAAACAAATCTCTCACAAATCTATCACTAATGTTGCTCGCTTGCTGGAGTGGAAGATTGTAAGAAAATGTTCAAATATATGTTCCTGCAGTGAAAGTGAAACATAAAGCCTTAGAGTTATTGTAGTAGTATCAAAGTACACATTATTTTCATTGAAATGTACTGTTACATTTATGAGTAGCAATACAATAAAACCACTAAGACCCAAGGGGTTACTGAGTGTAAGAAAAACATTATTAAGTAGGGGGAAAATAAAATAATAAGAATTAAGAACACAGAAGATAACAACTGGCATTACATTTAAATTTTTGAAGATCAAAATTGACTAGAAAGCAAGAAGCCACAAGCAAGAAGTGCAAGAGAAGAAACTATTAGAATAGAACTTAGTTAAATCTAGCCATTTCAGTTGTAAAATGATGAGACCTTGCCACCAATCTAGTACTGTGCTTAAATTCATAAAGTCTAGATACCATAGAGGAATGTTCATCAGAACAATTATCATAAAAATATTTATAGAAAAGGCACAAGGAAGATACAGTATGTTGGTGGGAAAGTAACTGAAGCTGATTTGGATTTTATCAAGAATATCGAAATACATAGGAGAAACACCAGAGTAGATATGGCAGGAATTATGGATGAATGTTAAATTTATAAATATGTAAGAGATTCTGGTTCTCTCAGACGATTAAAAGAGAGCAGTTTCATATAAGTGTCATTAAAATTAACAAATCATTGTTTCTATTAACAACAATATGTAGGTAATTTTTTAGATAAGTTACCTTAATGAACTGATCAGAATTACTATTAAGACAGGAGTAAATAGTTGTGTCATCAGCATCGATACCGAGTTGAGAACTGATGACATCAGAAAGGTTGTTGATTAAAATTAGGAACAACATAGGTATAAGCATACAGCCCTGGGGAAAACTTGCATTAATGCAAAATGAACTAAAAGAGTGGTCATTCAAGATGACTTTCATTTTGTGATTTGATAAGATCCTACAAGTATGTCATACACATCTTCTTAATACATTATCTGAGACACTGCAATATCTGAAGAGCATTTTTCTCAGATGAAAAGGTGTTCAGCAGAAATTGAAAAGTCTAAAAGTAGTTGCTACTTCTCTCTTTGGAATATTTTCATTGGCTACTGGTATCTGGTAGTATATTTTGTCAGGTCCAGATTATTGTCATGCCTTGAAATTTATATCAATATGTGGGATAGGATAGTGGTTTGTTATCATTGATGGATTGAGACATTGGTAATTGATGCATATGTGGTAAAGGTAATGGGTTTTGTGTCATGCTCAATCACATCGTTATTGTAGGCAATGCCCAGGTAACAGCCTAGGATATTGTTATATTGGATAGCAGAGCAAATCTCTGTTGAGCTGAACAGTGTTTTTCTCTCACTTTATTATATTGTATGAGACTGTTAATCTGTGAATATGAATGAATAAGTTAAAATGTGCTAGGAAATTAGCTCATATTATAGACATCTGATATTTGGCAGCTGATTCATTACACATTTATTGAGTTACTAAGGTGATGAATAAGAATAATATTCAGAGTTTTTTCATATTCTCTACTTGGTCTGCCAGAGAATTATAATGTCATTTGTAAAGGGTGTACACCTTTAAATTTTGTTGTCAACAGGCTGTTCACACCTTCCAAAGTTTAAATGTTACTCAACTGACAATTTTAATTTAGAAGGGAATGGTTTGTCTTAATTATTTAAGATTATATACTGGCCTGATGTCATTTGCTAAGCTATTATAGCAAATGACATCAGGCCAGTAAATAAAAAAAAAAAGTTTTTCCATACTGTAATAGAGGGTGGTGTTACATTTTCAACTGAAATTACCTGGCTAACTGGTTAATTGAAAAATTATTACAAAAAAGTGCGGCTGGTGTGTAATGGATTTATTTCATATTAAGAGTAGTTTTAAAGTTACCTAAATCTTAAACTATATGAAATTTATCAGAATAAACAAATTAGATCAAAATAAATCAGGTGGTATTATGTGTGATGTTAGTGGTAATAATGATCCCACCCTATACTTGACCTCAGGGGTATTATATATTGAAGACTGAAAAAATTACGGATGTATTTCAGATGAGTATTTGTGCACATATACATACACACAAACAAATTTATATATAATTATTGAGAATACCAGGTAAGCTTTCATTTAATTTTTTTTCTTACTGCTTTACTGTAATAATAATTAAATAAGAATTACCTGTGCCTATAGTTGGTTCTGTAGCTTCTAAAAAAATTAATTTTTATAGTGTCATTAACTTGAATAAATTGAAATAAGTTGAATCAAATTTGAAAAAAGTGAAAAAAACATCCAATAAATACATCCTAAAGTATCAACACAATAAGCAAAATATAAAGCAAAACAATTGCACTTTAGTTCTGATGTAGAAAAGTTTCATTTAAAGTCTGTATCAAACTATATGCAGAAAGCTTTGAGAAATCTTTAATTAGAAATTCATTCTTTTGAAGTTATTGACTAAAATCAATTTATGAGTAAAAATTAATACGGAACTATTTTTTAGCCATCGTCATCATATTTAATACACCTATTGAATCACCAAGCAAAATCAAAATTTGAAAACGTTTATACATTGCTGATGAATAAATTTAGCAACATCCTGATCATCTAGATTTTTTATTTTACAAGACATTGCATTTCCTTCTAATTTTTGCTAATATTTGTTATTGCTTCTAGAATTTATACTATAAAACAATTATTTCAGAGAAAAATTACTACTTCTCATTGAGAAAAATGCTACAGTATTTTAAAAGTATAATATTAAAAAGAATGTTAGCCTCACCTCTTCTAAAGCATTGCATACTAGCATCTTCTAAATGGGAACAATCATGTACACCAGCATTTGAAGATACACATTGAGACAGGGAGATTTCTGTTCCAGTGCAATTCAGTTCATCTAGCCAAATTTGACCAGTACCACTTCCAAACCTCGCATTTCTATATCCAATCCCACTACTGAAAAAATTAAAAACCTTTCATAAAATGAGTCTCCCAATCATCTTCATTTCTAGTTTGAACTATAACAAAATTGCTAGACACAAGCATACAAGATATTTGTATTTATTAAACTAAGTTTAGTTTATCCAAATGTCATATTATAGTGTAATAATAGCCATTTCAGTTGTAAAATGATGAGACCTTGCCACCAATCTAATAAAGAGTAAACATTTAAAAAAAGTTAAACTAAATTTTGTAAACTCTTAAATTATTGTTATGGGTTGATACTTTATTGGATCCTTCATGTAAATAACAAGGAACAAAAGAACTTTAAAAATATCATCTCAATACATAAATTCACATGTTTTTATTGTAGCAATCTAAAGAATATGCCAAGGTAAATTATTTTTCTTGAAAAGTTCAGGCCCCAATTTTACAATTATACTATATACTATCTGTCACTGCACACTCTTATTTCATTTCATCAGTTTATCATTCCCTGTCCTAGAACTACCAAAATGCATTCTTGGTGTCATCACTTGGCAGTGTATTTTATCTTCATGGTCATGACATGTCAACATCAGAAAGATGCAAGGTAGTCAGATTCTAGCAATTTTGTTATAGTTCAAACTAGAAATGGAGATGATAGTGAGACTCATTCAACTGGAAAATTATTCTAGAAGTAATTTGCAATAAATTGAGAAACCTCAATCTTGTCCATGAATTCACTGGTGGCATGTGCAGAAGCAGCTTAAGGAGAATGAAGGTTTATACTGGATTACCCTATCTTGTCATCTGGTTACCATCTCTCTCTGCACTGTTCCTGGTTTCAGGCTTATATAAGAAGGTTTGAGCACTTCTAGCATTGTTTTATTGCATGTCTTTCAATGGGGATGTTGAGATCTTTCTCCAGACTCATTTTATAGCTTTTAATTATTATTTATAATTAATTCTTTGTTCCCTTATTCTCTTCAATGCTGACTTTTTCACAGTTTAATCTCAATTATTCATTCTCATATGGTAAATCATTGAATCAGGATTATAACCCTGTTATATTTCTTCATGCAGTAAAGCATTGAACCAGGGTTACCAACTTTTTATATCCAACATACAGTAGAACATTGAACCAGGTTTGCCACCTTGGTATATCTCTCATACAGTAAAATGTTGAACCAGTGTCGCCATCCTTTTATCTCCTACAAGCATTAAAATGTTATGAGATTTATAATACAAGGGTATTTCAATGTCTGCAGGTAGACATTGAGCAAATTTTGATTTGAAATTTGACTGATGTAATTAATATAAACTACTGAATTGAGGAAAAATAATTATTTGAGTAAAATAAACATTTTTATCATTAAGCTACAGACTTATTGATGTACCTACATAAATAAAATAATGAAGAAATCTTTATCAAGATTGAAATCTTATGTACTACTCAATAAAATATTCAATCTCCAAATACAGCAAGAAAAATTAAAAACATTGAAGAAACTGATTAAATATTAAATCCAATAGCATTTAAATTTATTGTTCATTTGTACGCTTCTGATTTATACAACTATAATAACTGAATAAATTTATACCTGAAGCCAAGCATGCGGCATGCAACTGTGGCATCACGATCATCCCAGTTATCATCACATACTGTTCCCCAAACATTATTTATCATCACCTCTAAACGACCAACAGTGAAATTATTTCCACCAATGAGACGAGCTTGTTGTATTCCTGAAAAAATAATTGATCAAACACCTTTTGCACAAAAATATTATAATACAGGGAAGAAATGTAATTTATGAAATTGTATGTTTTTTATGTTTCCAATAATTTACAAGCCATATTTTTAAGATAATTTTTGTTATATTTATACAATATTTAATTTATTAATTTTTCTCTAAATCAAAGTTATCATTCTGAAATTGGAGAAGCCTGTAAATAATAATAAATATTAAAGAAACATTTATTACCTTGAGCTCCTCTATTGCTTGGAGTAGTTGTAAAAATTCCTGTAATGTTCAGAAAAAAAATGTATTATCTATCATTAAAGTCATTTAATTCAGTTTAAAGTTTTTATTAACTTATATAATGCAAGATTTTGGGAAAAAAAAACTCTACATACAGCATAAATCAATATTTACAGTTTATTGAAAATATATTATCATTATTCCTCATGCTTGAGTTTTAACATTCTAACATGGAGCAGGAGAAATTGTATCAAAAATGAATCAAAAACAAATGCTATAAATTAATTGATATTGTTTTAAGTTTTCTTCTTGTAATAAATAATATCGGAGTCTAGATTTCTATTGCTAGAACTGTAGGTAACTTGGACAAGCTAAACGTTCGTCTTCTCACAAGGAAAACAAAATATCAGTAATAATAGCAGTTTCATGGCAAACTGACTACTTCAAAAAGTCTACTATTTATATGTTAGCTATATTTGCTTGTGTATGGTTCATGTACATGCCCATATTGTTGAAATTTTATCTAATATTAGAGTGAAATAAACTGCCATTAATGGATTTTAACAGTTGTAGAAAACATTTCACAGAAGAATAAGAACAAAAAATGAGCAACTAATTAGTTCAATAACAAAATAAAAATGAGAAGTACAAACTGAATACTTCATACTGTATATGTAGGATAAGCAAGGGCTATGCCAACAGGCATACTGGCAAACAAGAAATAGTCGCCATTTTTATATGCATGATAGCTCATTACACTTAACATGTAGAAAAAGATTTTTAAAATTTATTGAAAATGAAAACTTGTTATTGAATTTCAAGTGTTCTTTTGCATGAAATATTAACTTTGTTTATCTGTGATTCATCTTAAAGCAACTGAATTCACACTTCAATGATTTTTGATGAAGAAAGAAATGGAAACTTTTTTCTGCTCACTTTTCAATGATTTATGATGAAGAAGAGAAGGAAAAAATGAGAAGATGAATCCTTATTTCTTTTCATACTTTGATGATTTTTTTGATAAAGCAGTAAAGGAAAATGTTATTGTAATGGTATTGGTTTAGCTAAAGAGAGTTATAACTATATAACAATTGTGAGTCAGTGTATGTAGAACAACTTTTTGAGTCGTAGTGGGAGTTCTCTTTTCACCAACCAGTTTGACCAGTGCTTAGCACCAGGAGGACAGAAAAGCAGCAGCTCCCTCCATCAGAATTTGGCAAAAGGTGGGTGAGTCTTGCGCATTTGTGTCGAGTAAGAGAAGCCAACTTAGAGTGGCATTTTTATTCCGGTTAGGCATCAGAGGATTGCACTACCTGTATCAAGCATTGGCAACCCCATCAGAAATAGTGTAGTTTAGGGTTGTTTTTGGTCTTTTAGTTTCTTCCTTTCAGTTAACTTAGCTAGTAGATGTATGCTCATTGATCACCTTTTATTTCCGTCGCCACTTTCTTTACTTTAATTCCCACCCTGCTCCCGTTAGATGTCTAGAGACACCAGTTCTCCGGTGGATGTGGGACGCCTTTCGATTTCGGGTGTGTGTTTCGTATTTGTTTTAGTGTCTGAATGAGTGTGTATTTGAGTGAGTGGTTTTGGACGAATGAGTGTTGTATATTATTAGAGTTCTGCATTGATTTCGTCCGGATAACTGATGTTTCTGCCATATTTAAGGATTGTGTTTTTTTTTATTACTATAGAGGATTGTGTTTTTTTTTATTATTGTTTTCTTTAGTTTCTTGTAAATAGATTTTTATTCACATTGTAAATACAGATTGGGGTTTAGATTTTAAATTGTTGTTATTCCCCCACCTCAAGAAGAGAATTGTACATATAGGAACTAGTTAGTATTCCATAGGGACATTGAGGTATTATGGTGGCTCTTAAGAATGATAAATAAGAATGCTTTCTTTTGGCATTAGGAATATTATGATATGTTTGGGTAGCATTTGCGGCTAGCTAAGTTTAATGTTAAGACAGAAGATGACCGTCCTTTTCCCTATCCCCCAATTTGGCCATATACCACATTTTGTATACATTATTACACAAATAAATATTGTGTACGTAGAATATCTACGGCTACTAAGTTTGATCATCATAACAAAATGGCGCTACCTGACGGAGCTCTGTTAAACACAGAATAATCTGAACACGTAAAGATTTGGATAAAATGCTTTGAGGAACGTGCCAGAATAAAGAAGTTATGAGATGACCAAACACCTGAAGGACAGAAAGAAATCACGGTCTATTTTTGGCCACTGCGGGATGAGAATCCATTTTGCAGATTTCGTTAATGACTTACCCGGCTGAAATTGAAAACTTGACATTTAAGGAAGTCAAAGAAATGATATTGAGAAATATTCAACCACAGAAAAGATTGGTGATAGCCGAACGAACCAAATTCTTAGCATTGAGACAGGAATTTGAGGAGCCTAGAAAGAAATATCTAAGATATTGTGAATTTCATGAACTCGGACAGCAAGAAATAAACACAGAGGAAGAATTAATTCAACTCCGATTGGTAGAAGGACTGTACAACATTTCCCAGAGAGTAAAAAATTGAGAGCGGTTACAGACAAACTAAATGACTTTTTAGAAGCTTGTATTGATTTCATACAATAGAATTTAAACATTTTTTTCACTAGAAAGGAGAAACAAAGAGAACACCTTCACGAATATTAAATTAAACGTTGTAGACTTAAAAATGCAAGTTGACACTGGAAGCAAAGTGACCATTATTCCAAAGAATTTTTGGGAACAATTATCGAAACCAAAATTAAAGAAGAGCTTAGTAAGATTAAGACAGTTTCACTGAATGTGTATAAAAATATTAGGGTCTTTTCAAGGCAACTTGAAACAAAAAATAGATTTGAAATTGTCATTATTATGGTCTGTATAAAAAGTCACTGTTTAGTAAGAACTGATTTGATAAATATAAATAGCACATGTTTACTTAATGCTATGAATACGGGAAGTCCCGAAACTGGGACATTAAAAAACTATAAAGCGAGCCTTAAATTAAAAAGAAATATCAATCCATCGTATTTTGAAAGCCGTAGGCTTCTTATTCATAAAAAGCCAATGGTAGTTGATAAGCTGTGAAAAATGATGGAAGAAGGCATTCTTCAATATGTAGAACCTGGGGACAGCAAATGGGCATCGCCTATTGTGGTTTAAAAAAAACTGATGGTAATTTTAGAATTTGTGGAGATTACAAAGTAGGCGTAAATCATAAGATTTGTTCAGATTACTACCCTATTCCAAACATAGAAAACATACTACATTCTCTGGCAGGAATGAAATATTTTACGAAAATTGATTTAAAAAATGCGTACCCCCAAATTCAAATAGATGAGGAATTTAAGGAAATCACAACAATAAACTACCCCATAGGCTTACTTAGATGGTCCCACTTACCATTTGGTATTAAGACAGCCAGCTCAATATTTCAAAAAGCCATGGAAAAGTTGTTAGCGGGGAGAGTAGAAAATATGAATATAATTTATCAGGACCATATATCCTTAGTTGCGGCCACTGATGAAGAATTGAAACAAAAAACTAAATTTGTAATGGATAGGTTAAGAAAGACAGTAATAACGTTAAACGACATTTATTTGCAAAGAATTAACATTCTTGGGTACCAAATTTCAGAAAACGGTACTTCACCGGACCTGACGTTAATACAAAAAATATTTAATGTATCTTCTCCAGCTAATAAAAAAACAACTGGAATCATTTCTCGGATTAGCCACTTTTTATAGAAAATTCTTGTCAAAATATTCTGAAAAAACTGAAGAGTTTCCTGAGTTACAAAAAAGAATAAGGTGTTTGAATGGACTAGTACACTCCAAACAGCCTTCATTAAATTAAAATAAGCTCTATGTAAAAAAAAAAAAACAAAAAAAACCGTGGTCAAGATTTTTTACTTTAAAAAGGATGTTACATTAACCACAGATGCGAGTGGCCAGTCTCTATCGATAATTTTGTCCCAAGAAGGACACCCGGTGATGTATTTTTCCAGGACATTGACACCAGCTGAAGTGAACTACTCTAAGATTGAAAAAGAAGCACTTGCGATTGTATGGAGTATGACCAGATCAAGATAATTTTTATTCGAAAAAAATTTTTTGTTGAGATCGGATCATAAGCCCTTAGAATTTATACTCCATCCTCGGAAGGAACTGCCGAAAGCTACATCATCCAGAATATTAAGATGCTCTATGAAGTTAATGGCTTTAGATTATGATATAGAATCGTGAAGGGAAACACGATACCACACGTAGACACATTGTCCTGACTACAATTTGAAAAGGAACAAAACGAAAAAAACATTAAAAAACTTTGAGGATGAATTTTTGCATTCGGTTTACACGGAAGTATTGCCCATGAATAGAATTGTCATGGAGACATTACAAGATCTGGTCTTAAGTCGAATTTATGATGAAATAATGGTTTTGTCAGTGTTGGTATTCTCTGGTGCTGCACATGCAAAGATGAGTGATGGTGTTTCTAGTGTAGGAGGTCACCTCATTTTGTTTGTTGGACAGAATAAAAGAAGTCCTGCCATTGCATGGTCAAGTTAAAAAATAAAGCAAGTTGTAAGATCTATACTGGCGGCTGAGATGCTGACACTGTTAGCAGCATTAGATTATGCAGTCTATCAGAGAACGATCATTATGGAATTCATGGGTGCAGATGAAAAATAGGAAAAGAAAGTGAAACCTTATTTCTGTTGAAACGTTGATCATTTTTAGGAAAGAGTAAATAAAAAAAAGACATTGGCATTCCGCCTCTGAATGAAAGAACTGTAGATGAAATCTTATATTTGCTAACCCATTGATGTTTTAGGAAAATAGATATGAAAAACGAGAACTTATTCCTTTTTACTCTGTGGTGATTTTTGGTGAGAAAGTGAAATAAAAGTAAATGAGAACATTTCTCTTCACTTCTTTATAAGAAAAAAAATGAGAAAAAGGGGATGAAAGCATTTCAAAATAAAACCTCCTGATAAGTATGACTGGAGTTTTATATCAGTTTATTTAAATTCA